TCTGCTTGAATAATTCTTATCCTATCCATAACCTCTTGACCACTATCCTTGCAGAGTTTTCCAAGAACAAATGCAACCATCTGCTTGACTTTTGTCCACAGTCCCTGACCTAATTCGATCCCTCCGACCTCCACAACAATTGAAGAATCATCAAGGATGCTAACTTTGCCAGGTACTTTCATTACATAAAGCGGATGAACGATGGGCACACATGAAATGCCTCTCTTCTTCCACCTATTGTGACCATTAAATTCTCGGATATCTTTAATACGTTGCTTGAAGTTTGCAGATACCACCAATTTTTCAATAATTTGAGGCAAAGTATACTCTTCTGGTTCAATAAATTCTTTTTCGTAGAACATCTTAATACTTTTTAAGGAATGTAGATTTATCATCCGAACAGAATGAGGATCAATTGATAGAGTCGACGCAACGTGCTCAATGATAGCTTCAGCAATATATGAACCCTGTATCTCTCCTGGGCCTCGCATGGCTGTTTTAGTCAAAAGATTGGTCTTACAGATCTTGAAGTCGCATGAGAAAGCCCCCCAATCATACTTTTTCAAATCTCCAGCAATGTTATTTGGTAGTATCGGACTTATGTCTTCACTTATACCTGCATTGATTAGTACTTCTAGACATAATGCCGTGATATTACCATCGTAACTGAAGGCCACCGAATAATTTATTGTCATGGGATGCCGTCCTCCGGTTATCACCATATCAGTTTTACGATCAAGGTACATACGAACAGGTCTTTGCAATTTGTACGCTGCAAGAGAGCATGCAACAGCAACCTGTGCATGTGATGGTGTGTAAAATTTGAGTTTAGAAGGAAGAACCGAAGGAATATCTAGATTACTGATGAAGCATGACAAATATTGAAAATTAGTATTACAGGCACGGATCGAATCGCTTTCCCTCCAAAGCCACCACCAACTCTTCTTGTGATCAGACGGATATTATGATATGGAACACCGATGCATTTTGCAATTATACCTTGACTAAGCATTGGACTTTGACACGAACTATAGACGACTAAGCAATTACCTTCGTCGGGTATGGCTAATGCTGTTTGAGTCTCCATGTAAAAGTGATATTGCGAACCAAGGTCAATCTGAAACAAAGTGAAGATATGGATTATAATAAGAAGAAAAATCAGGATAAAAATGAAGTCTTTGAACTGTATTTACTAATTTTACTGTGACGAGAATAAAAGTACGTTTGCGGTTATTATCTTGAGATTGGCTTTTGACATTCCTTTAGAGATATCTCCAACCTGACGTGGGATCAGATAAGGTGGTATGTCAAAAAAATTAGAACTTTTCACAGCCTGATCTACTGAGAAAATAGGCGATGCTGAATTGTCAGTAGCATACTCAACATGTGCCTGTGCAGCAGCTACGTTGGCTAGTTTTTGAGTTTTGGCAATCTAATGTGAGAAGAAACAATCCATTTGATTATTTTCAAGAAAGTAACAAAATGGTCAAACTGAATACTGAAAAATGACATATTTATTATTACCACAATGGCGAGAGGTTCACCGGCAAATTGAATAAGGGGATCAGGAAAGAGCGGTTCTTTTCCAAAAAGAGAACCGCTAGCTATGTTTATTCCTTTATCCGGAATGTCATTGATGGTGATAATGGAGATTATATTTCCAGATTCCGGTGTTGATTTAAAATCAATTCCTTTAACAAGCACCATGGGCTTTTTGCTGTAGACAAATGCAGCGTAAAGACAGTCCTTGGGAGATGGAATATCATCTACATACATTGCTTCACCTGTGAAGTGTGAATATAATCAGATTTTGAATGAAATCACAGATGATAACCTGTTATTTGTGAATATAATCAGTAAGTCCTTGGGAGGAATACCGGAAGCTTGCATCTCCGCCCCAATTTTTTTTATAGGCTCACCGATCGGAAAATAATCTCCACTGAATTTCACAGTCTGCTTGGAAGATAACAATGATTTGCAATGGGCACCCTCAACCATAGTATGAGGAATCCTTATGGAAATTGATTGAAGAAAATCATAGAGGAAAGAGACTACCAAACTCAATCGGTATGTGGGGTGTGACGTGCCTTCTTTGGGTAAAATAGTTTCTTTAAGTAATTTAATTGCCTCGAGCATTAAAGACGTGGTGATAGATTTACCCATTAAATATTTCTCAAGGTTTCTTGTTCTGATGGAATGTTCAGATCCATACGCACCAAAAGCTAACTGTAGTTTCTCTACGATAAGTTGTCCTGATTTTTGAGCAGACATCTGAGCTAAGAAAGCAGCATTGGCATACGACACGGCATTTCCAAAAGGCCGGGGTGATGCCCGATATGTTTCAAAAAGAAAATCAGATTCTTCAGCTGATTTGCCATTGTTGGGATCGTCTTGGTTCCAACTAGGAATTCTTATACTCAGAAGTATAAAATTTGGTCCAAATGGAGGCTTCTCAAGAAATTCTTCAAGTGTGACGTTGAACTTGTCAGAATCGATCTGAAATGAGACAGACGAACCAGCTGCGAGAAGAACAGTGGAAATATCTGAGGCAAAAGGATACTTCTGTGCCATGATAATGTTACCTCCCATACTGGCAGTATTCCGAACAAACTGTGATGCCACCTTACTCAAATGAGTGGCGATTTTGGAGAAAACATTATTTTCATTTGACTGCAATTGTCGATCCAGCTCATCTTCTTCATTCCCCTTCAATGCTTCAATGGCCTTAGAAATTGTCACAGCAGCACCAAACTCAATACCAGAACCGTCCCTTCTGATCATTGTTAATTCAGGTATGTTCCTGAGATCAATGTACACGTCATATTCATCCAGATCCTTGTAAACACCAGAGCATGTATTACCGACAACCAACTTCACACGTTTCTGTCCCTCATCGTCACATTGTGATTTCATTAAAGCTTGAAGATCGTCAATGCTATTTGGACGAAACCAAGAACAAGAAGAACCTGATAAGTTAGTCGTAAATTTGTTGCACCGAATTTCATCTCGTGATTGGAGAATTGAATTGCGAGATTCCTCGATTTCAGCTTTTAAGAAGTCAGGAATCGTCTTAACAGCATCCCGTTCGTAGACTGGCAATTTCTTCACATCCGCACTATCCTCCTCACCCTTCCCCCAGAAGGAATTTAAACCTAAATCCTCTATGTCGGCATCAGCCGAAAAGCTTTTGCAAGCATCAACAATTGAGCGATAACCAGTACAGCGACATAAATTGCCAGAAACAGCCTTTTCAGCTTCAGATGATGTGAGTTTGGAAAAGCCTACAGGTGGGTTCCCAGATTTATCAGCAGCACGAAGGGCGGAAAATAGAGACATGCACATTCCAGGTGTACAGAATCCACATTGAGAAGCATGAAAGCCAGAAAACCTCTGATGGATGGAATGGAAACCTTCTCTACTATTTCCAAGACCTTCAGTGGTTGTGACAGAACACAGATGAACACTGCAGAGAAGAGTGAGACAGGAAGACACCGCCGATTCATCAATTTGTCTGGAGACAAGATCATATCTTGACAGGAGAACAACACATGCTCCACAACCACCTGCATCAATAGTTGTTTTCTAAAATTCAAGCCATATGATGATCATACTCATACATGTAATTATTAGGGATTTGTTTCAAAAACAAAAGAAGAATTAATCCAAAGGTAAACAGTAATCGATTTGATTTCCGCCAAAATAAATTAAAACCCAAAAATCTAATCAGAAGAAACCCTAGTAGCTAGATAAAGAGGGTATGTATGTGGTATGAACAAACCTTCCCCGCATCCAAGCTTGGCACCCTTGTACACAGTCTCGGTCCTCAGGAACTCCAGCAACGACATTGAAGGATCTACTGTGGGTAAGTCAAACCTCTGTCCGTTGACTGCAAACACCAGATTCCGCATCTTCCACCTCGCCGCCGCCTCCATGGCAACTGGCAAACACTCTGAACCTCAAACACTCCAGACTGGATAAGACCTTGTAAAGAAAATGTGGGTGCAAATCGCTCACTTACAAAAAAAACTGTCATCACACGTAAAAAAAAGCAGTGGTCAAAACCTTATAAGGAAATAGTTTACAGCTATTAATTACATCCACAATAATTTTACTTTTAAGATAAGTCATAAGATAATAGATAGATAGATAAATATTGATTTGATAAAGTTGAATTTAAGACAGTTTTTTTATTTTCTATTATTATTTTGAATAGAAAATGAAAGGGAAGGATAAAATATATTGACAAATTGCACATTTTCCCATCTTAATCATGGAAAATTAAGATAAATAAAAGAAATTCAAACCAACAAGCAACGGACAACCCACAGACCACAGAAAATGTGAACGAACATATGAAGTCAATAATCAATGCTCAAAAGTCAATAATCACAAATTCACATATATCTTTCAAAATATCTCAACATTAAGGGTCATATTTGGAAACGAGTCTTCCTTAAGGAGGTTATTAAAGACATCAGTCTCTTATTTGATTCAGTGTATTACAAGAAGAGTTGTTGTCACCCTTTGGAGACATTTATGATGGAAGTATGGGAGACCAACTTTCTGAGACAGCGTATCTAGTTACTGTATAACTAAGACTACATAGCTAATGGGAGAGAGTTAATGAACATTTTGCTAATTTCTTTTTACTTCTATTTTTTATTTCTATTCTCTATTTTGTAAACTTGGCATTAACCTTATTCTAATGAAATTTAATTGCTTCAAAAAAAAAAAAAAAAAAAAAAAAAAAAAAAAAAACGGCCTCAAGATAGGGTGAGGGTCACCTTAATTTTTTATAATCTATTAGGAATTTAATAGGAAATACTGAAATAGAAATTTATTAATTATTCATTTAAAATTTTAGACTTAGACCCATTTAGATTATGCTCTTAGGAATTTAAAGTAAAAACTTAAAATTTATAATGCAAATTATTTTATAAAAGTTTGATGGACTCGGTAAGAAGTATAAAAAAATAAAAAATATTATATTTAGAGAGAATGGAGATGTAGCATAGATGGTAAAAGGTTTGCTTAGTATGCGAGAGGTCACAGGTTCGATCCCTCATGTTTTTAAATTATTTATTTTAACCTGCAGGTTAAGTTCGAACTCAGGCTCGAGCCTGACAATTCTTAAAACGAGCCGAGCCCGAGCTCGGACAAACCAGGCTCGGCGAGCTCGAGCCTGGATAATTCCTTAACGAGCCGAGCCTAGCTCTATAAGCAAAAGCTCGACTCGTTTGACACCCTAATCCCTACCTACTAGACCACCAATGGTTTTCAAAGTACTTCTGGTCGTTCATGGCAAAGGCAATAGACTTTCCATTTGCATTTGTACTAAAAGAATTCCTCTCCATGCGCCTTTGATGCTGTCTTGCATTCTTGGCTCTCTTGGGTGCCAGCCTTTTGTCTCTTTCCAAAAATGCGAGTCGGAATTTCTCTGCCATGGATATGTCAGAGCTTGGCAGCGACGACGACGATGCAATGTTTCTTGGATTAGAGTTTATATCTTTTACAACCCAGGTTTTGGGATCTATGTCCTCAATAGAAATTTCATCCAACACTATATTGGGTAATGCCGCTCTTGGAATTTCATCTACTCTTCGGATACTGAAGGGCGAGGATGGTTGTGGATTGAGTATTATCCGAGGGCTATCTGTTGCCATTCTTTGTTGTGAGTTTTCATCTATATTTGGCTGCAATAAAATGATATCAGGGATTTAAAAGCTGGGATCCTTAAGTTATGGAAAAATATTGAGAAAAATACACAATGTGGTTTTAAGACATACCCATGAAAGCCAACGTAGAGATTGGCAGGTACTAGATATTTCCATGCTATCAAGTTCTTCCCAAGTTTCTTCTTCAACAACTTTCAATATAGGCTTGAAGATATTTATACTTTTGTAAGCAGTGTATTCACTAGTAGGACAACCTCTGAAATCATTGGATTCAATTTATAGCTTGAAATATAATTTAACTTTAGTAAGATAGAAAGGAAAGTTCTGATGCAACAGAATTATAATCCAAAACTGACATCAAGTTTGGATTTTAAAATGAATTCCGAACTGAATCTGAATACTATAGAATCGGTCCAATAGACCAATAGATCCATATTAAAATATTATGTAGATGTCGGTAACTTGGTATGACACTATTTTTTTATTGTAAATATAGAACTTTGTACTTGAGTTCAGAACTCAAGATCTTGCTTTGTTTCACCCTTTCAATCACGTCAGAAAAACTTTCGTTGATTAATCCAAACTTGCAGCAGTACTAACCACTCCTTTACAGAAGTTCAGATCTAGTGAACAGCATATGAGAAATGGAGAAAAGAGATAGATCAATAACACTCAGGTCTTCTACTCCACGGCGGGTGTTCTTCCTATCTATGGTTGATCTCAAAAGAATTCAGAAATGTTTATAGCAGCTACTACAAGATCGTGGGACTCAAGATAACCATTTACTTCACTTAAGACCATTAAACCATGTCACACATTATTATTTAACGTGACTTAAATGTACCTTGGAGATCTTAATTAAAATCCATAACTTGATTACTTTAATTCCCTTAAGGCCTATAACTTCATCATCATTTCATATAGTAAATACTTTATGTATTGATGTAAGTGGGTTTAAACCCTTACATCTTCATCATGCAAGATGGTTTTTACTACAAGACCAAGTGGCTGTAAGCACCACAATGATTGGTTTAATATTTTTTTTCATAATATGAAAATGTTGGGTTTTCAACTTGTAGTGAAAATTAGACATAAATATCAGAAGAGAAATTACCCGCATCTAAGTGTTTCCAAAGAACGGCAATTGTTCATAAGGTCAGATACACCCATCACAGTAATTTTATTACAGCGACTGTAAAAACAAGAACAAGTGATTTAAATGTGTAAATTTTTGAAAATAAAACTGAAACAATAAAAAAATGTTAAAAAATATATAACATTGCACTACTGAATTCATATAATTTACATACCTTATGTCTGCGGCCTTAATATTTTTACAAGCCTTAGTAGCCTCAGCTAAACCAGTATCGGTAATGGAAGATTCAGAGATGTCGAGGAATTCCCATGAATTGTCCACCAATGCAATGAGAACTTCATCAGTAAGTAATTTCCGTCTTCTAGCAATGGCTGCAAGTGCTTGCTGTAATCCAAACATATGCATTTAGTTGGAATACAAAATATATTAAAAAGAAAAACAAATGGAAAAATAATTTTCATAAGCTTTTTTTCTGAAAAGAAGGACACAATTATACAATGTTAGTAGCTTGGTGACTTTGCTATGCGATAATATTGAGATTTAGAATTTTCACCGAGTTCAAATATATAATGGCAATATAAACTTAAATATCGATTGTACCATTGTATCAGAACTTCAAACCTTAATGTCAGCTGGAAATATGGAAGATATGTCCGATAGGTCTTCGATGATATCCTCTAAATATTGCCCGAGAACCCCAACACATAAGCTTACTAGTTTTGGAGGGGATTTCTTCTTCAATGGAGGTGGGAACCCTGATAGTGGAAGGAATTAAACGAAATTACTATACAAAGGTAAATATTTCATACTTTTGTGGGAACTAAGCGATGAAATAAGAATTAAAAAGTACACATTTAGTTATTTACACAATTACACATACACAATGAATGTATAAAGTAATCACAAGAATTAATAGAAAAAAGTATAGAATCCTAAATCCCAAATTGAAAGGAAAAAACATGAACATAGATGAGTAAATCATTGTATACAAAAAAGGAATTAAATGAAGAAACTGATTACTGCCGCGGTACGACGACGAAATGGTAAGACGAACCGATGCTTTTCGGGTAGAATTAGAATCGATGGAAAGATTGCTCAGAGAAGAAGAAAGTGGAATTATCTCTTGAGCTTTGTTGGCGAAGTCGACTTCCATGATCTAAAAGATTCCCCTAATTTTACTGATTTTTTGTATTTATTCAATTATTATGATCCGATTACATTCCAATTTACAACTGACAACATTTAAGGGGCGAGATTTGAATTAATTTAGTGAGATATTGTAATAAGTACATATCAATCGGATTCGGATCCGGATTATATAAACTTTTATTTTAAACCTCGATCTTTGACTCGCTCTCGTCGGCGATGGAGTTTGACCGGAGGAAAGGAGTGGAGATGTCGGCTCACTCTAGCCCTAGTTTTCCTAATGGGAATCTCGATTCGACCATCTATCCACTTCTCGATGCCATAAATCGTTATGACTCCTACTTCTCGATCACCGGTTCCAGCTCCTCTCGCATTACCATCCTTTATGTGAACCGCGACGCTAAGAGGATAGAGGTTGAGGGGAGAATGGTTCTCATGGAATATGGAACGGTTGATTCCCATGCTGTGCTAGAATCTGTGATTTCTCAAGAGAGGGAAACGAGTGAAGCAGGGGATTTAGTGTTTAGATTTGAGCCGTTGATTGTGGTCGTAGAGTGTAGAGATATTACTTCAGCGAACGAGTTGGTTTCGATGGCGATTCGTTGTGGGTTTAGAGAGTCCGGTGAGTGTGCATTTCCTTAAAAAACTACTCTTTCTCTCCCGTCTTTCTGCGAAACTGGGTTTTAGTTAATTTGTTTGTTATAAAAAGCAATTTAGATTAGGATTTTCCATTTTATGTAAAATTCAAATTGAATTTAGTTTTGTCTTTTTAGAATTGAGATTCTGCAAATATATTTAACTTATTTTCTATTGAAGCTACAAGAAAAGTTTTTGCAGCAATTTCTGAAAATCCATTGGGAAATAATTTTTGAGTTAGGTCATCTTATGTTTTTCATGAAAGGTCTCTTTCAGTATCAGTAAGGAAAAACTGGGATATTTGGGTTTTAGAATTTAAATATAATAGGAGTTTGTTTGGGTTTATTTTTCCATTTTGATCTTCTTATTTTGAATTAAAAAATTCACACTTCTTTCTTTTCAATTCTCTACAGTTATTGATTTTTGTCATTCATTGTCATTTTTCTTTTTCTTTTTCTTTTTCTTTTTCATATCAGTGATTTGAATTGCTAAAGTTTGCAGGCATTACAAATTTACAGAAGCCTATCGAAATTGCAATAAGGTGCTCGATAAGGCTTGAAGTACCATTGGGTGATAACAACCAAATAAGAGTTCCAGTTCAGTATATCAGGTACATCGTTCAGATTGCCAATGAGAAAATGGAGGCAAACAGGAAGAGAACTGAAGCTTTTCTCAAATTATTAAACTACCAGGTTCATAAATATTTCACTATTTTGTATTGCTTTTTATAGGCTTATATTATGTGTCCTTTCATCACTCTTATATCAATCTTAGAATCTTAGACATCCTTATATGTTCCAATTTCCAATAGTTTGTTCTTTGTTCTGTAAATATACCCACTTTATCTTTTGTCAATTGTACACATCATTCTATCCCACATATACACATATTCACTTTGGTAAAAAATATCAAGACACAGTTTATATCGATTTCAATAGAAAAAGAAAATTATTATTATTTGATAATTTAAGCTTACTATTGTCACTTCGAGCAACTTTTTAACTATATATTTTCCTTTTATTTTCAAGTTACAAGCCTCATTTGGTGAAATAGAAAAATCTCAAATATATAAAATTAACTGGCTGTTGCTTCCTACTCTTTTTGGTGTGCAGATTCTCATGAAATCAATTTCCATAAATGCTGATAATTTTCAAGGAATTGTTGGTAATTCTAATAGAAAATACAATAATGACAACTTTGGAGTGAATCCTGAGATTATACCTAAATGTGATCGTAGATATGAGACAGAGCATTACAATACTTCTTGCAATATTACAAAACTCGAGGATAATAATGAGAATGATTCCACAACCAAATCCAAAAAAGATTTTCAAGCAGGTAAGATATATTCCTAGACCAATTTTCTTTAGTACATAACCTATCCATAGTTTTTCATGCGCTCGCATGCGCAACAGGTTAAGTGAATCCGCTTAGATTCATCTAACCATTTAAATAGGGTAAAAATTAGATAAAAATCGGGAATAAAGATTTTTCTCCCTATTCCAGTACCAATCTCTCTA